TTTTTTTTTCAAATTCATGCGTTTTCTGTAAAGAGTTACTTCACTCACCAAGCACGGGCCCGCCCGCAGACTTTATCGCTGGGCCCACCTCAATACCCTGCAAGGCTCGATGAGGGGATTCCATTTCAACATTTCAGGAGGTGACTGGGCCCCTTAGAGCCGTGGGCTCGCCCTCAGTGCGGCCCTTCATTTACGCCACTGCTGTTGAATCATTCAAACTTTGTAAACATAATAAAAATCGTCTTTAGTCCTCTCCAAGTTTATTTCTCGCTCCGCAATGAATTTTTGAAAATATGTCCAATTTTCAACCTCATCGGACCACTGTGCGAAATCCCCCAAGGGGATTATGAGGACTTTTGGCTAAAAACACCTTTTCACGTGAAGAATCGATTGAGCCTAAATCCGGCCGTATTTTAATTTTTGGCCGGAATCGGCCCCTATACGCCTTCGTTTACTGGACTATTATCTACTCTTATGAGTAGAATATTCTAGTGATATGAGCAGGATGTCTACTCATATAAGTAGAAAATTCTACCCATGTGAGTCGGCGAATTCTGAATAGCCTACTCATCATTTTTAGCAGGGTTGCTCTTTAAGAGGGATAATAAAATGGTTTTAAATTTCTCACGTCTTTTGCAGTGCAAAGCGCTGCTGTCTCCTGAGCATTACTTTGCTTTGGTTACAGTATAGCCAGGGTTGGAAAGTGAAAACCTCTGATTCTCGTAATAAATACTCGTATAATGTCGCTAATGATTCTGTTTGTCTTTCCTGTCTCGCAATTCATTCACACAGTCGCTCCTCTGACGTAAAGTATCTAAATTTCCACGTGAGCCCTGTTTTACATATAAATACATGCTAAACGGGGCTCATTCAAGAATCAAGATACGCTTTCACGTTAAAATAGTGAGGATACGTCTGAGAAGACCCCTTAGAGAGGATCTTAGCTTGTTTCATCAAGAAACTTTTACCTAGATTACGCAGGGACTTCTGCACTATACGTAGTGGCGATCCTTGAGAGTTGGCGACATTGTTTTTCCTCCGTTTAAATGCATCGAAAAGATTTTAGGCGAGTCATGCTGTTTTTCCAAGGATAGATTGTTTTACATATATTTAAATGGGGGAAAAACACTGTTGCTATCTTGCAAAATCGCCACTGAATAATCTACCATGTTCAGGAAAAACTACGCAAAAGCACTCGAGAGTTGCCTTTTCTCCAATAAAATATTTGTCTTTGAAGAGAATTATAAAAACAATCATCCTGACATGGTCAGATGATTTAGGACAAATAAGGATTTCAAATTTTGAAATTTTGTGAAACTTTTTCTCACCGATTTTTCTGAAAATTGTTGCTCATTCTTCACTACAGCTGTTTCGAGCTAACGCTCATCGTAAGGTGATTTAAAAAATGTATAAAAACTAAAATTACGATGCGTTTTCGCAATCGCGAGTGGCTCGGAATCCGCGTCCGCGTTCGCGTTCGTGACGTGACTGATAACCCTGACATTCATTGTTATGTCTTTCTTCCTCACTCCCTGTTATCATGTAGTAGTTCATCAAGGTGGGAGGGGTAATCACCGTTGTTATGGTGCTTTCTGTCTGAGAATTAAGGATGGCTTTGGTTTTAAAACTATCTATTTCGAGTTGTTCACAAACGTTCATTCTTTTGCCCTTTTTGCATCTTCTCATCACCTTCATTTCACATTTCAGACTGGTAGACGGCTCGTTTGGCATAAAGTTAGGTTCTAAGAGAGAAGCTGAACAGCCTGTGAAGGAGCTCAATGACTTACACCCAAAAATCAAGTTTAAACTAGAGTTTGGTGGAAAGAAGTTGAACTACCTTGATTTAACTATACAAATCAAGAATAACAAACTTAAATTCAGCATGTACCGCAAACCTTGCTACACTGATGCGATAATACCAGAAAACTCATACCACAGTTGGCAACAGAAGATGACAGGATTCCACAGGTTCCTTAATAGACTAATAACATTCCTCTGTCAAAACAAGATAACAATAAAGAGCTGTACTTCATATTAGAAACTGCTATCAGGACATCCTGAAAATCCTAATAAAGAAAAAGTCAAAACGCATAGACCAGAGACTGTGCAACACAGTACTTGATAGGAATAAAAAATGGATATCAATCCCAAACATAGACAAATTTTCTCAGTCTATAACACAACTTATTGTAAAAAGTGAATACAACGTGACCCACAACAACGACAAAAATCTAGGAAGGGGAACTTACGGACCTGCCGCCTGGGATTGAGCTGAATTTATTTTACAGACTCTATGGACCAATTCTAGAGGTCAATTTGAGCCGTTTTCCCGAATGTGCAATAGGAAGGGCGTAAAAAATTTCCAAAAGTTGCATTTTCGGCGCGTGATTTGGTCGTGCGGCGCGTGGCAACACTGAGGCAGCCTCTTCTACCGCTTTAAAGCATTCGATGTTTAGGAGAGTCCGAAGCCCTACTGCACAGGTGCTGGTTCATTCCAAGCTCATAACATCCCGGGTTCGGTTCCCGAGTGAGTTGATTACTTTTTATTTTCCGCATGATCACGTAACATTTTATTTTTAATTCTTCATCCGTATTTATAAATCAAGCAGTTCCGATCACTATCCCCCCCGCCTTATTTTACGTACATTTTCCCCCGATATTTATTCACATTGAGCACAAATAACCATATGAAACTTCAGTGATATAAATTAATGAATTAAAAAGGAAAGGAAAACCTTATTTGTTAATACATTATGTCCCAATGTTTTCCTGGAAAAATATGTAATGTGAGAATAAATTNTACTGTAACTTCTCTTCTATTCGGCCGATTTTTATGAATGAGACCTCTTTCAATTCGTGTTTTAACGGAAAGTAAGAAAAAAATTGCTAAGTACACGCGAAACAATTTTTTTTGAAAATTGGACGAATCCTAGCAGGACGGTGAAATGGTTAATGAAGCGTAAGTAATTGGGCGAGGGGCTGAGGATCCCGGCCTCGCTTGGTGACCGTCATTAGCTATTGTTCGTCGAGACGCCGACGCAGTGATCAGGANAGGGCTTAGTGGGGGGGGGGGGGAGCCACGTTTAGCAAATGGTCTAATGAGTCTCGAGGCTCATCACAGATTGCACTTAGGCTGCCTCGGCTAATGGAGCAAGGCTACTAAATGTTGAAAATAATACAAGGGTGTGGATATCTGTCAAAGCAACGTTTTGAACAAAACGGAGCAGTTCAATTCTCATTCAACGAGTGCCGACCTGCGCAGCCATCCTCGAATCAGTTCGCTTGCTTCTGCTTATATATGCATATTTTAAATCAGCGCGTCACATTCTTAGGCTTCTTTTAAAAAAACCAAGTAACGTAGACTCTTTGTATTCAATGCACATAAACTAGAGAGCCCCAGAATGAGAAACAACTTTAAATCATAAATATTGACGGATAAATAAACTTTTTACACGCTTTGGAAAATCTCAGAAGTTCGCGGTAGTCACTTTTCGGTAAGGAACTAAGGGACTCGGTTATTGTATCGAGCAGGGTTCGAAACGATCGCAAAGGCGGTATACTACGTATACGCGCCAAAATGTTTCAAACTCTGTCAATCACTGAAAAATTGTCCGATTTACTTTCGGTTTGGAGAGGGTGGCTTGTTTTTTTGCGTAGAATTGATTTCTGAAATAAAAAAGTAGGGGTGCCATTTGAAAAGTTCGACTTACGGGTGGGGCACCCCCGCCCCACGCCCTTCCCGCGGTTTGGGAAAATGTCTAATACGCCAAAAGGTGTCCCTCTCGATATAAACGAACACGTCTTTTACCGTTTTTCGAAATTCAAACGCGTTCGGCAGATATTCAAGGTGGCTCGTTTTTCGTGAGACACCCTGTATAAGTCGCTTTACAGCACTCCCTCACGCTCTACGACTCCTAAACTCCACTGCTCTCTTTCAAACCACAAATCTTGGGATATTGAGCACCTTAACATTTCCGCTTCAATCCCCTCCCTCCAACCTTTCATTTCTCTGCGTCTTCTCCCAGGAGGAACCCAATCAAGGACCTTCTTCGGCAACTTGTCTTTTGCCATTCTCTGGACATGACCACACCAAATGAGTTGTTTTGTCATAATGTCATGCACGATGGTCTGCTTGGCATCCATGATCTCCCGTACCGTCTCATTCCTGACGCGATCCTTTCTGTAAATACCAGCGGATCTACGCCAGAAGTCCATCTCTGTTGCCTCTAAAACCTCCCGGGTCCGCTGTTTCATCGGCCATACTTCACTCCCGTAGGTTACTATGCTCTTGACAATCGCGTTGTAGATCTTTCTGTTGTTCTCTCTAGAGATCCTTTGGTTCCAAAGGACTCCATTTAATATAGCGATTGCCTTCCTACCCTGCTTAATCCTCTTCCTGATGGCCTGATTCAATCTTCCATCCTGGGTTAGAAACACTCCTATATATTTGTAAATATCGCAGCTTCCAATTTGCCGCCCATCCTCTAATTCTATACTTTGCTGATTCCCGCCAACGGTCAACTTCTCGTTTTTGCTGGCATTCACCTCGAGGCCCCATTTCCGATACTCAGCCACCAACTTTCGAGTCATGTACTCAGCATCATCCTGATCGTGGGCGATAATAACTTGGTCATCAGCAAAGCATAACGTGTAAAGAGTTTCTTCATCATTCAGAGGGACGCCCGCTCCGTCGATTTAAACCTTCAAATACCTGATATCATATTTTGAGGTCAAGATTTTTTAAGTGGACGTACACACTTAAAGACTCTGCACCTACGCGCACTTAAAAAATCTTGACCCTAAATGATATCAGACATGTTGAGGTTTAAAACGGTAAACAGAGGGAGGGTTACTTTTCTTCTCTCATCATGTACCTATTACTATCCCCCCCCCCCCCCTGTAACGAGGCAAATCCCTTCTCTCTGCGAGGCAGGTCCAGGTCATCAGAGGCACATACGTCCTCTGGTAAGATCTATCAACGTTACTCGAAGTGCCGGAGTTAGCTCGCCGGGATCCTGGATTCGGGCGCCATTTTTTAAAATGAGTTTGGAAGAGGGGAGGAATAATCAAAATCTTACGTCTCAAATTTAAGGTTCTTGGTTTATTTACAAAAAACTGTCAAAAGAATGTCATTTCGTTAGCTAAATTTGTGAGGACCCTACACTCAAAATTGTAATAATAATGATTTACGATATATAATTCTGGAGATGAAAACAAAAGGGAAGCCGAAATGCGACTCAAAGCGTGCACTTCAAGACTTCCCGAAAATAAAAAAAATTGGCCTCCGGCCAATTTATGGGCGGCGCGAGCGCCGGTTTGAGGGGGGACGGAGCCCCCCCATCATGATGCGAGGATCGCACAAGACTCCCTCGTTTTTGCCGGCGCCAGTATAGTCACTTTTAGTACTACAAATTTGAAAAATACTGCCAATTTCAAAAATCATAAAGTTTGATTGGAATTTATGAGCGCAGGATAGAAGTTTTGAAATTTTTATTCAAACCACTGAACTTTATTGTAAATGTCTTCGTGATATGTGATGAATTCATATATTCGGACTCGACTTGTCGATATAATGAGGCATCTTCAATTAAATATGTAATTGATTAATGATGCCTCCTATCAAAGACGGCGATCCGTAAAAATCTTAGCTTTTCTACGATTCATTAGAATCCATTAGATTCATTGACATCATACTTCAGATACGATTTTATATTATAATATTTCCTTAAGCACGGTCAAAAGCTATCAAATATCTACTTTAATGGGTAGAATAACTATTCGATGTTTAAATAGTCTTAAAACTAAACGGTTTTCGCTTAGCATCACTCAAATTTTAAATTTGGCGGGTGAATCTACCTGTTGGAAATGGTTCACCACGCGCCACCTCCTAGCTGCTCGTATCCCTGTGTACTGAAACAACAACAACAACGTCGACAAACGTCAACAAACGTGAACGGGTTGTAACGCGCTTTATTATCAATCATTCAATCAATCGTGTTTGTGCAGTATTATTATACAGGGTGTTTCAGACCACCCGTACCAGGCCTTTTTCTCGGTTGGTATAGGTCGTACGAAGTCGGAGATCGCGGGCTTGAAAAGGGAATTGACCCCAAGAAATCCGAATTTCGAGGTCCCGAAACCCCCCCACCCCCCCTTGGGGGGTAAAGGGGGGTCACGATGCTAAAAGTCACGGTTCCCGACCGAATTGCGGATAGATCGCATCAGAATTGAAAAGCACGGAAAATTTCACGTGGAATGGACCCTTAAAAATCCTAAATCGGACCATCCAAGGCCCAAATTTGATTCCCTAAAGAGGGGGACAGTACCCCCCTCCATAATTTCTCTTTGGTCTCAAAATTGACG